GTGTACCGAGATTCACGAAAGAATGTTGGACGCACGGCAAATGTGACAGTAGAGCAGTATCAGAATGCTTTTCAGAACGTGCATGACGCCAACATCACTGAGAGCTTGGAACTTCTTCGTAAACTCCCGCTCAAACGTTATGAGTATAAGTATGATTCGTTAGAGGGTCGAACAACGGTGTTGGGTTTACTAGGTCCGGACGTACAATCTGTTGCTCCCGATGTCGTGCAAGTTCTTCCCGAGCGTTTTATGCTCGATCGAACTGGTCGTGGTAAAATTGTGCTTCAGAATTTCCATATCGTGGACAAAGATGCTCTTTATATGCACAATTTGGGTGCGACTCAACAACTAATTATCAATTTAAGAGATCAAAAGGATGAGTTAGTGGCACTACGGGAACTCACTGCTGCACAACAACACAAGATTGAGGAGCTGCAGAAGCACCTTGAGCAAGAAGTCAGTGTACAGTTGGTACAAAAGCGATTGATCGTTGAGACTGAGCTGGCGCAAACTGAGAAAAAGATTGAGGAAGCTAAAATTCGTGGAAATGAAGAGCGCACGACGCTTGAGCTGAAACGGGACTATGAAATGCAAGTGGAGAAAGAAAAAAATGTGCTGGAGCACCAGCGAATGAAACAGCAGGACATTGTGCGTCGTGATCAGAATCGAGAGTTGGTGCAGATGCAAGAAGAGTCGAATGTTCGTTTGGAACGTGCGAGGCGTAAGACAGAGGAAGTACTTAAGGAAAAACAATTGGCAGCAGACCATGAGCGAGCCTTGTTGGAACGAAATACGACGCTGATGAAGGCAGAAATTGACGTTGATGGTCGAATCCGTCAGCAACGTGTGAATCAAGACATTGAGATGGCACAGCTGCAACAGCGACTTGAAGCTGACCGCGTCAAGCTCATGCAAGCTCTACAAGCCACGTTTGACAACCTCGGGCAGGGTATTTCGATACTTCTTGTGGACAAAGAAAAACTGTTTAAATTTGTTGGAGCATTTGTGGCACTTGCTGCGGGAATTTATCTGAGTCGAGAGGCGATTCATTTAATGGGAAAAGTAATTGAGCAACGACTTGGTAAACCTTCCCTTATTCGTGAAACGTCACGTACATCTGGTATGATCGGTTTCATAAATGCCTTGTGGCGTCGAAAGCCGGTAAATGAACAAAATGAATTGGCCGGTGTTGTACTACAGAAATCCCTCGCGACGCGCGTGCTCGAAATTGCACGCTCGACCCGTAACGCGATGCAACACGGCGCACCATATCGACATTTGCTACTTTACGGACCTCCTGGAACTGGCAAAACAATGGTAGCCAAGCGCCTTGCACGAACATCTGGTATGGACTACGCCATTTTAAGTGGAGGTGATGTTGGTCCGCTTGGATCCGACGCTGTTACAGAGCTTCATGCTCTATTTCAATGGGCAAACTCATCTCCAAATGGTGTTTTAATCTTTATCGATGAGGCTGAAGCATTTCTTGGTTGTCGGGCGACACGTAAGACACACATGAGTGAAGCGATGCGCAATGCCTTGAATGCGTTATTGTACCATACTGGCGCCCAGTCCAAGAAGTTTATGCTCGTTGTCGCAACAAATCGTCCAGAGGATCTGGATACTGCTGTGACAGATCGGATAGATGACACGCTTCACTTTGACTTGCCAGAAATCAATGAGCGTTTACGTCTCTTGCAAATGTACTTTAACGAATATGTAGCTCATCTCAAAGATCCCAAAATGCTGCGTGAAAAGTCGAAAACAATTTGTGAAATAGCTTGTGCTATGGATTCAAAAGTCATGACACAGTACGGAGAAATCACGAAGGGAATGAGTGGTCGCGAAATTGCTAAAATGATGCTGTATCTGCAAAGCATTGTTTACGCACAAGATCAAGCTGTCGTGACGCCTCAGCTTGTTGACCGTGTTGTAAAGGAAAAGGTGAATGAACATCAACGGAAGCTCGAGCTGAAAAATTACAATGACAAAAATTGATGGTTTGTTTACACAAAAATTGTGTTATTGCTTCATATATATCGCGAATTTAAATACATGCGTAATGATACATAATAGTGACGCTTTTCATCCCCGATAGTTAGTCTATTTGTCAAAATAAGGCAAGATACGTCAATAGCGCGGATTTATTAGTGTGATTACTATGTCCGATATAATCAGCCTTAGAAAAAAGCAATAATGTTGTTCACAGCCCAAAACTTAGTCTAAAGAAGCTACACAGAGTCTTGGTATAAGGAGCATCAGCCAAATAACATCTACGCACCACTGTCGAATAAAGTAGACAGTACGCGTCAGAACGCAAGATGCCACGGATACAATATCCTTGCGACGGGAACACTTCCAAGCTAATGCTGACCTTTTGCGTGAACTTTTGGGATTATGCAAGCTTGAAGCGTTTAATGATCCTGGACCGATATGACCTTATCCTAACATGACGTGACTGGAACGTCACGAGTCATAAATTAATTGGAAGTCGAAGAAGCTAGGTGCCACGCAAATCTTTAGAGGCCCGACATTCGTGCCACACCCGAATAAGGGGCGCGTCAAGAAATTGACTTGACCCTTCAAACTAAATTTTGCACCGGACGGCAATAATTTTTACCAAGAAAACACGGTGACGCTACTGACGGACGGTTTGTTCCGTGTGAGATACAGAGCATATTTGGTGAGATTTGACGCCAGCTTTTTGTGTCAGAAAATTGAACGACAGGCTGCAAATTTTGCATGCTTAGAATTAGCTAAATGCAGCTATGGTCCCGGCGCGAAAGCCGATCTTAGAAGTAGTCTCGCAGAACAGCATGACTGGCTGTACAATCCTCAGCGCCCTCAACCTGACTAATTCTGCTGGCAAGAGACAGCGGTTTTCTCTCACGACGATAGATACATCGAAGGAGATGCTCTGAGAGCAGCTATAGCTGCAGGGAATGTCGAATGTACAAGCAACGTTTGATTGTCTGGTGACGCGTTACATTGTGGATAGCCACAAATCTGTTCCGAGGATATTTTCGTTTATTGTCGCGCTAAGCACGGGAAGGATGATGTCGAGAGCCAGATTGAACACTTAAGCAGTCCTCAAGTGTGCGTGCGGAAAAACTTATATGCTAATATAGACGAATGTGTCTTGGCATTCGACCGACGCTTCTGGGTTATTTGTTGGAATGCAAAGTCTGAAATGGCATGAATAAATATCAGCGTAAATATTATTATTAATAATCTGTTTCATAGGACGCGGGGAGTTGTCTTGGTCTGATCAGCTTCTTGTATGATTATTATGTCGGTATAGGAAGAACTCTCAACAGTTTCTTGAAAAATATGTCAAATGGTGTTAGGATGCAGTAGAATATAGACATGCCTTAAGCTGTGAGAAAGTCTCACGCGATGGTATGGTTTTAAAGGCCTGATCGGTCGTTCCACGTCGCCTATGACACTTCAGCCTTTGTAATAGGCTGTACCATGGGCCAGGGCATAAATCCATGACTTTGCTTGAGTTTCGCCAGCCTAAAGCTGCTGATAGAAATATATTATTCGTGATAAGAATCTTTTTGCAATTATGCGTGATATAATCAGGTTGGGACTGTACCTGTATGGCTCTGATTCCCGTTTGTGACCTATACAGATAATGCGTCGTTGCGTACGGCGGTGTCGTTAGCGCATCTCTATCAAGGAGAACAGCAAGACGGATATACTTCCAAGCCTATTTATTTTAGGTAATGGATAAGGCCGGATCAGCTAAAATAATTTTTAAGCGTCGCCCGACGGTATATTCTCGTTGGTTCAATGGTGGCGTCGCCACTTTATGAGGCAGAATGTATAGCGTACGAGTCAGACGCAACATGTTTTTATTGCTTAAATTTTGTAATTGGCATAAATGGGCTCAGATGCTGCTTTATGGAGGCGATCAATTCCACATCTACACTGCTACATCCTGTCTCAATGCTTGATGTACATGAAACTCCGCGTGGTGTGGGACCTTACGATGAGGAGGTTAAGTACAAAATACTTGTATGAGACAAACCGCTTGGTGCGCATTATTTTTTGTGGCCCACCATATATAGGTGGCTAAGCACAAAAGTACGCATGGGGTGGGGTGGGGTGGGGCGTGTCAGCAAGTCAAACATTTGATGCTCGCCGTTTTCTAGCCAAATGTTTTTGTGGCTCC